CCTGCAATTGTAACATGTTTCTATCAGTAAAAAAAAAGTTCAATGTCTAGAGCATTTTAAGTTCAAAATCTAGACAGTTTTACCATCTTACAGTTTATAATCCATGAAGAAACCCAGAGTGCTTCCAAAACCATATATTTAACCAAATATTAGAAGACAACAGTCTTTTATTTCTCATTTACCATCTTACAGTTTATAATCCATGAAGCAACCCAGAGTGCTTCCAAACCATATATTTAACCAAATATTAGAAGACAACAGTCTTTTATTTCTCAAAAATACACTTTGACTTTTTTTTTAACAATCACACAAAAATATTATTATTATTTATTTAAAAAAGAAAGAAAGAAAAGCAATACAGAAATTATTCAAATTGCGACAACGAACCACCGAAGACTTCAAGAGTGTGGAGTATGTCGAGAACATAGGTGTAATCATTATAGCGTTCTGCATCACTTAGAACTTGTATACAGCATGGAAGAATATTAGGAAGATATGTTCTGAACTCATCATTGAGAGCCAAGCAAAGCTGTTCCACTAAATGCAGAACCTGTGAAGAACATATAACCACACTTTTTTACCTTGAAAGAAAAAGAAATACCTTTTTTTTGGCTTAAAGAAAATGGGAATGCATGCATAAAAGAACGTATGTCCCAATGGAAAAGACTCTAGCACAACACTTTTAAGTGTAATATGACCTGTGTGAGCATACTGAATAAAAGAACTTACCGGATAGCCAAGTGAAGGACGGCTAGCGGCAGGAAAACTGAATGATGACCATAATACTGAAATTAAAGACAGCAGCTCTGGCAGATATTTTCGTATGTGCTGCACAAAAACCAAACTTGTACGTGATCTCTGAAGCACCATAAAAACAGCTACATGCACAAAATAAGTTTACACCATTATGTACCTGACGAACAATAGACACTAGAGTGCCAAGCTTCCATGTTATAAAATCCTTTAAGGCATCGTCACATGTCCGAACAATGAGAAAGAGATCGGGCAGAACCTATTTTAAAGGAACAAGGCCAATAAGCAAAAAAGTTACATAAGTGGTGAACGCAAAGAACTTCCAGATGGAGAGAGAAATATTTTCTCTCTTCTTTTAAGCATGAACTATGGCTAACCTTTTGCAAGTATGGAACGCAACCGAGCCCCATTGACTGAATTCGCAAAGAAAAAAAAGGGTTCAAAATTTAGACATCAAAAAAATATGAACAGTGGAAAGCACGGCTAATGAAAAACATCCCCCATTATACGGTACCTTAAATATGAACATAAGAGATCCAACAACCTTTAGGTGGTAACTAGAAAGGGAAGGGTCCCTAAGTATTCGCATTAGGGAATTGATAGAAACCTGTATTGACATACAATATTCCAAACAGACAACAATGATTAAACGTAATTATCCAAAATAAAAAATTGGCAACCATCACTTTAGATAGACCATGGACATATTACAGCTGGAGGGAACTCATTATGAACATAGATAACAAAATTCATATACCAGGCTCATGTACTACCGTGGAATAGTAATCTTCAGATGTTGCAAAAGATGGCCATAGGTCCATGGGCAGTTCATCCATCGACTGGAGATGCTGACCAGAATCACTGGCAGCACGGGTAACATCTCCATGCGATCCTGACAGGCTAAGTTGATTTCTTTTATGTAGATGAGGATCCAAGGCACCCATAATTCCGAGAACCTGTAGATCCAAAAAACATATCTCTCACTTTTAGTACGAGAAATAAATATCTGTCACATATAACTAACCAACCCCTTTTTTCTTTTTATTTTTGTCTTTATCGGATCTGAACATTAATTGAGAAGCCTACCTTTAGCACTTCGCGTCTGGTAGACCATGCCAACTCTCCATTTAGCAACTTCAACAGTAAGCCAAGTAACAGGGGGAAATCATTATATGGAGTTATGACATACCTGTTACATTAATAAATTTCACAAAAATTCACACTTCATTGAACATTACTACAAAACGACGTTACTCAAATATTTCCACTTTACAAGGAGAAAAGAAAAGGGAAGTTAAACAGTTAAACGTAAAATTATGAGAACAACATTTTGGCTAAAATAATTGGCTTAAGTTCAAAGGCAAATAACAAACCATTAATACTTGAATGAAAACAAGTGTCAAGTGGACATAAAGTCTTCAAGCATGAGATGAACTTATCGTGTGATAACTAGTGTTCTTTTTAGGTGAAGTGTGAGCTTTATGCTGCACATCCCTTGAACAAATACTCTAGTTCTTTCGGTAGAAATAAAAATATAATCAGATATTCCACATAAAAAGCCTTAATATGCATAAATGAATATAATTTCTATTAACTGATAGAGGTAAAATTAGACAAAAAGAACAACACATCATAAAACAGCATCCAAACACGGATTATACCCAGTGCTCTGCACAATTTGACCAAGAGTGGTAACAGCAACTTCACGTTTGGCAACAGCTGCTCCATCCGATAAAGCTTCAACAATTAAGGGCATAAGTTTGGGCATGTATTGTCTCATTTCGAAACCACCCTAGACAAAAGGGCGACAAAGTCAAACAAAATAGTAAAGAATTTGAATAAATCAGATTAAAAAACTCGTGAGCAGAACAAGAATAGTTACAAGTTCATAAGGTTCTACGTCAATAACACATAAAAACATATTGATAAGAAGGGTTTTCTTTTAGTGCTGGGAGAGACGAAGGTTTGAACACATCAATAAAGCTATCTACCTTATATCCATGCCTACTGAAAGTCCTCTCTAACATTACAGCTACAGAAATTAGACGCTAGTCTAAAATTGTGAGTCCAATTCAATTATTTATATGGACTGCATGCAAAACTCGAAAGAGATGTGTTTTCAAGTTTCTGGGTGTATTTTATATTGCTCTGAACATGCACAAGATGCTCGGAAGAAGATAAATTCCTTCAGAACAAATAATATGATGATATGTAAACCAATCAGTTTAGACGAAAGTAAACTATGCGCACCACTCTAGCAAGATCTCCAACAGTCACAAGAACTCCAGTAATGATGGCATTGTTTGTATTGACACCATTACCCTCAAGTCTTGCCACGAGTGCCTGCACAAATAGACATCTATTGTAAGGCAAGAGATAAAAGAACCCAAAGATGCATAAAAGTTATTTATAACACAGCCTAATAAAAACCACAAAACTAGATGACATTTAAACCTTGTGTATTGGAGCAATATATGGGCGTATTAGTCGTTCACAGTTTCGTATTAAACAACCCAGTAACTTGGCACTTTCTTCTCTACATTTGCTATCTGCACTGCTGACACGGCACAGAGAGAGGGAGAGAGAGAGAGAGAGAG